ATGTCTGAAACTGCTCATTCACCATATTTTATTTTATATCTTCTATCCAACAAATATTAAATTGTTTCTTTATAATAACTCTTTAAAGGTTTCAAAAAAAAATAAAAAAAAATATATCTAATTTTATCTTGTATTCAAACATCTCATATTTAATTAAAAATATAGATTCATTACTTGTGGAAATCACATAAACAAGGCCATCTGAACTTGGATAGTATTGCTGCAGCTTATTCTTTGCCTTTAATGCTGCATCAGCTACATCATTATTATAGCCCTCATCATCAATAAAATCTTTGATCATATCAATTAAATAATTATATATAGGTACAGTTTCACCAAGTAATGGATAAGAATATTTACTAATTTCAAGAGTGGCTTCTTTAAAATACTATAAGAATTTATTAATTCAAAAAAAAATTAATTCAAAAAAAAAAATTCAAATATGAAAAAATCAATTTATTTAATATACCTTTAATAAAATTTTAATTTAATTCTTTGTCTGATGATACTGTGTTATGTAAAGGCTTAAAAAAATATAAATTTAATATGCAAGTATAATAAATGATAATTATCAAGATGTCAACTACAACATGCATGTGAGATAATTACAAAAATTAAATTACCTCTTGCAAAAATATTGCTCTTTCTATAATGTCAAATGTTGAATTCCACCTTGTCTTTATATCTGGTATTAATTGTAGGCCTTTTAAATTAGATGCATTACATTGATTCTGAAATTTTTCACGTCGTAAGGGTGAAGAGCATATCTTTACTACCAATTTTCTCAACTATAAACAAACAAATAAATTAATAGAAGTATAATATAAATTATAAATATTAGTATTAAACTTACTTTTGCAATTACACCAATTGACAATTCATTATCATTATTATCTAAAATTTCTTCTTCTCTTTCTGGACCAATTCCTTTAAGGGATTCAATGCCTCTTGAGCAGAAAGGTTTATAACATGGGCCATACATCTGATTCTATTTTCTTTGCCAAAAAGTTTTTCCAACTCAACAACAAATTTGGTCATATTTTTTGCATTGTCTGTTGCAATTGCCAACATCTTAAAAATAAAATTAATTAAACAAATTAAATTTTACACCTTTATTAAAAATTAAATTATGTAATATATAACACCTTATAATGCTAATATTATTAAATAAAATACAATACTAAAAATGATTTTATAAATTGTAAATCAATTGTTGAAACTACCTTATATAATAAACCATATTCTGGAAAAATTGCTTTTTGCTGATCAATTCATATATATTACAAATGGTCTAATGTGATACTTCTGTATATGTTGAACAAAAAATTTTTTTTAATAAAATTCATATATAAAAGTCAAAACAAATTCTTCTGAATATATAACCTGAGGAACACTGAGGATCACTGCAAAATTTACAAGATATAAAAAGCTATTAGTTGAAGAAAATTTCATTTTTTTTTGTTATTTAAGTTCACATTCAAAGTTATTTCATTAGAAACCTTATCATTTCTTGTAACTTTATACAAAAATTCTTCTTAATAGCCATAGAAATAAATAAAATAGAACTTCTAGTTTCTAAGATCTTTTAATAGTAAGTTCTAGATCTCAAATGTATTGGTTTAAAAAAGTAATTTAGTTAACCAACTATACAAAATTTCTTATTAATAGTACCATAGGAATATATAGAATGAACTTCTAGTTGTCTATTAATGAATATGCCATAAGCTTGCTTTTATCTAAATTTACAAACATTTACATGTAAGGATTACTTAAAATTATTTTTTTTTAATAACTTATTTATATATACTGTAATTTATATATTTATTGTTTTATGAATTATTAGGAATATTGCACCAATTTTTATGTATGTATACAGTATATTCAATGGGTAAAGTGAATAATTTAGTCATGATCAGAGAGCATAAATAATATTAATTGATTATTTTTATTATCAATTTTTTTGGATTAAATGAGATATCAATGATATCAATGAATTTGCAGGTAAAGAAAAAAAATTATTGAATTTGTATACAATATTAAAATCATTTATCAGGTTACTGATTTTTATGTGTGTATATTATATTTAATAGGTAAAAGGAATAACTTGGTCAGTTATAAATTATAAACACATTTATTTGTGTATATTAATTATATTTAATGGGTAAAAGAATAACTTGATTGGTAAACACATTTATGTATGTATATTATATTTAATGGGTAAAAGGAATAACTGGTTAGTTATAATTATAAACACATTTATTTGTGTATTAGTATATTAATTATATTTAATGGGTAAAAGAATAACTGTTCGGTTATAATTATAATAAACGCATAATATTAATTTATTATCTTTTCATTTTTATTATTTTTATTAAATAACTATTACAGAAAAAATTAATGTGTACATATATATTAAAATTATCTATCAGGATAATATGTTAAATTACAAAAATGTCATCTCATATTGTTTAGTCCTATAATTCGGAAGTTTATGACCAGTCAATAAAGCTCTCGCCATGATTTTCTTGTTTTTCTCTTTCTTTAAAGATTGTTTTTATTTATTAACGAAAGGATCTGCATAAATTTAGCCAATCAAATTTTCTTCTAAAGAAATTCCAGAACGTTTATCATTCATAAATTAGGAAATACCAAATTTAGCATATTCCCTGACTGTAATAAGACATAAGGTTTGAAAAAAGGCCCAAAAAACCAAATCGGTAGGTTTTAACGAATATAAAAAATGATCATCAAAAATTTTAAAAACCAAAATTTTATTAAAACATCACCTAATAAAAAATTTAATATTCTGTGGGCCACCCATTATTAGATATGCATGCTTTAATTCTCCTTGGCATGCTTTCAATCAGTTTATTATAAACTTCTTCAGGGATATTAGATCACTCCTCTTGCAAAGCAATCTCTAATTCTTGGGATGGATTTCAGCATTTTCATAACGTTTAATGGTATCATAAACTGTAGTTTTTGGAAGCTTAAGTATCTTTACAATTTTATTAAGACTACTACCACCTAATCTAAGACCCAAAAATTTTCCACACTCAGCTTCAGTTAATTCGGAATTTTTTGGCGATCATATCATATTTAAATAAAAGGGAATTATACAAGTATACCACAACTAGGGCTGGCCATGCAACCCAAATGAGCATTTGGTTAATCTGACTAAACTATTTAGCCATATGTTAGTCAAGAAAATTATTACTAAACATGTTGCCAACACTCATTTTTTCATTGAAATTCTGATGAGGACCAATTTTCTCAATGATTTGATTGGATGGTTATATTTGATCTGCATTATATGTTAAACAACCAATGGGGCATTACCGTTATATTGTTATATAGAAAAGGCCGTTAAAACTGTAACTTCTAACAGCAACAAACAACAAAAAAAAACAACAAAACCAGCAATAGTGATACTAATTGTTAGTTTATTAATTAATTGTAAGGGTAAATTTTATAGTTACATTTTTATTTTAAAGTCAAGAATGTGTAATTTTTATAATAAAAAAAAAAAACCTCTATTTTTGTAATTTTCTCAATTCTCAAACAGCTTTACGAAAATGGCACTTTCATTAAACAAGTATCGTCTTCTCCCACCAAAAAATTTACCTCCCTTACA